ATTATTATTATTGTTATACAAAATGCAAGAGGAAAAAATAAAATTATATTATCATAAATTATTATTATTATTATTGTTATTATCATTTTGTTTTTCCTAACGTATCAAAATAATTATTATTATTTTTTAATTTATTATATAAAATTGGGAAGCGGGTATAAGATGGCAGAAATAACGAAAATAAATTATTTTTATTTTATACAAATGTTCTCTCAATAAAATTTTATTATTATTATTATTTTTTAAAAATTATTTTCGTCGTGAACATATAAAAAATTATTTATTATTATTATTATTATTATTTTTAAAAAATAAAAAATGACGTAAACCAACAGGTTGATATTGCGTCATAAATAAGATTTTATTTAAAAAAAAAAAAAAAAGTTTAATAAATATTTTAATTTTATTACAGGAGGAAAAAAATTTTATTCGACCATTTTCAATGCAAGTTTTGTAAATATTTCCACAAAGGAAATTTCCTTTGAATTATAAATTTTCCAAAAAAAAAAAAAAAAGTTAAAATGTGATTAGAAGATGATTTCCCATTGTTTTTTATATGAGTTATGGAAATGGGAAAAGTATCAGTAGAATTTTTAATATATAAAGGAAATATTTTATTCAAAATGATTTTAAGGTAAGATATATATATATATATATATTTGTTTTAAAAGTTATTCTAAATTGTTTTTATTTAGATTTTATTATTATTATTATTGTAAACTTAATAATGCTAAACTTATACTCATCAAATCAAAACAATTTAAGGAGGTTTCATGTTTCAAAAAGTTTATTAAATCATTCCACCAAAAGATAATTTTAACATAAATATTTGTCTATAATTAAATTTAATAATTAAAAAAAAAAAACGTTTATAGGCGTACAAATATAAAAATTAATCATAATAAGGTCTTAAAATAATAATTTTGTTTCAATGTAATAAGTTTACAAAAAAAGTAAACAAACTTTTACACTTTTTTTTTTTCAAGGTTGGCAATTATGTTTACCACAGAGTAAACGTAATACGAAAAATTTTGAAAATTCAAAATGGAGGATGTGACTGTCAAATCAAAAAAGAAAAACAAAACGGGACCGCTTAAATCGTCTCCCGGTTTTTTAAAATGCATGAGAAATGTTTATTTATATTTTAAAGAAGAAAAAGAAAAGGGGGCTTTAAATATACCGATAAATAGTTTCATAGAACGGACTGCTGTAGCGTGTGGTGTAGGCAGGAAGACGCTTTATAACTACGCTAAAAAAGGTACTTTATCCGTCTTTTATTATCATTAATTCACAACAACAGCAAAAAAACCTATATATACATACGTCATTTACATAACTTCACGTTATTCGTTAAATTTTTTTTTATTTTTTATTATTATTATTTACATAAGTTTAACTTGGGAGTAAATATCATGAAATTTGTTTCTCTTATCCATTCATTCATTATCATCAAATTCATATAGCTTTTTATATATTATCATTATTATCATTTTATAAACCAATTAAATATTCAACGTTTCCTAAAGTTTTATTATTTTTATTTATTTCGTATTGAAAACATTAGGATTCATTGAATATAGTGTGGTTGTCTATCGCTTTCCTTTTACACTACTTGCTACTCTTTAGTTCTATGAAATGATTTTTTTTTTTAAAGCCTCAAATAATTTTATTTAATATCAAAATGTGTGTGTGTGTGTGTGTGTGTGTGTGTGTGCATATGTAAGTAAATTAATAAAAGGTAAGGATTAATGACAATTATTTTCTGCTCCTGGCAAACAAATTAATTTTTGTTAAAAACTTTGTCGCGAAAATTATTCGATATTAATTAATGTTATGTATTTTATATTTTCATAATGGGTAGGGGGGCATTAAATTTCAATAATTTCAGGTTTATTCGATGAACATCCAAATATATTACAATTGAAACAAAAGAAAAAAAAATGTAAAAAAAAATTAAAAATCAAAAATGATGATGATGATGATGATGTTATGTTATTGAAAAAAACAACACTTGTTAAAAAAAAATGTTCTTCACCAGTACAAAATAATAATAATAATAATGCTGGACCATCATCGTCACCTATAAATAATAATAATAATAAGAAAAAAAGTCCAACACTTTTTAAAATATCTAAAAATGCTGTCGTTCAAGCTTATGCTAGGCCTGTAAATCAAAATGAAAATTTAAATTTACCAAATGCTAATACAAGCGATTCTAACGGGTGAGACGATTAATTCATTTTAATCGATTTTTTAATTTTCAGTTATAAAAATGAGAAGGTTTATAATAAAAAATCATTTCAGGTTTTCACATCATTTTATGATATCAAGAGATCAGAAAACTATCCAACAAGTTCAAATAGTGCCGCAGACAAAAGTCGAAGAAACGACACATGTTTTAACAGGGCCCTGGACTGGGGGAACATCGACAATTAAAAAAGAAGTTGATTATTTTTCAAAAAATAATACATGGCATGCCGTTTACAATTTACACACAACAGGTATTATTATTATTATTACCAAAATGATTTTTCAATAACATTGTGCTAATTCTGTTTAATTTTTTATTTATTTTATAGAATCTCAAACGTGTAGTGATTTAAACACAACTGGAATAAATACATGTCAACAACAAACAACAACTGAACACATTTCCAACTTATGATTTTAAGGTTCATAGTTTGTTTCAATTGTAAGTAAAAATAGGTACACCTTTTTATAGATAAAAACTCATTATCAGATTTTTGTGCGACTGATGGGGGAAAATGGAAAAGAAAATCGTAATGTGTTTTACAAATAGATTACAGAATCCAAACAGGTATGTAATAAAATTTGATAAAACTCAATCAGTAAAAATATTTTCTTTGTTAAGCCCCATTATTAAAGGTTTCGATGATTGCATACAAAATTTGAACTTGTCTGGTCGACAAGGTGTGGTCATGGTATAATTATGATAATTGATGAATTCATAATCGGTTCACAAAAATAAACACACATAATCAATAAAGTGTATGTATATTTGTAAATTAGAAACTTGTCCAAATTATATTTATTTTAATTGTAAAATGTAAATTTATGTGTACATTCAATATAATTATTTTACAAACAAACACATAATCGATTATTAATAACAAAAAGTGTTAATTGTAATGAATGGTATATATATTGAGAATCAATACAAGGTTTACACAATCAAATAATAATAATAATAATCAAGTTTCAAAAAAAAAAAAAAAAATTTACAAATAAATTAATATTTAAATAATAGGTAACCTAATATTAACAATAATAATAATAACAGTATGAGAGGGGGGGAAAAAGAAAAGTTACATTGGATCATTTGTTTTTAACAAATGGAAAGCAAATCCTTTTAAATTGATACAATATGTTTTATTGGGGGGGCTTTTTTTTTATTATCATCAGAATTGACGAGAACAGGTTAAATAATGTCAATCACTCGAGTTAATTAAAATATTTTAATATGAAAATGAATTATTTATTAATTAATGAAAGCAGTTCTTAATTTTTTCACGATTCCTCTTGCAGAATATGATTCATGCTTAGCAAAATAAAGTTTAATTTCATCAACGATATCTTTAACACTTTTCGTTTGTGTGTAGTAATCAATAAATTCTCCATTGGGTCCGACAAAATAAATAATAATAGTGTGATCAACCTGAAAAAAAAAAAATTTTTTTCTTATAGTTTTTGTTTTATCGGTTTGATAAATGAAAAAATTTGCAAATGTTTATTCTTACTATGTAATCATTATCTTCATCTTTGGGTCCTGCGCTAAAATATACTCTATAAGCTTTACATGCTTGTTTTATCTGTTCGACTGTACCCGTCAAACCGATTATTTTATCAGAAAATTCTTTTAAATATTTTCCAACAACTGAAGGCGTGTCTCTTTCAGGATCAACTGTTATAAATACAGGTTTTAAGACTTTTTCAGGTTCTTCTTTGTCTATAATAAAAAAAAGAAATTTTAAATACAATTTTCATCATGATTTAAGTAAAATTTTAAAAAAAAAATAAAACTTACTTATCGTATCGACAATTTCGACCATTTTTTCAATTTCATCAGGACAAATGTCGGGACAGTGTGTAAATCCAAAATATATCAAAAGCCACTGACCGAAAAAATCCTTATTCGAAACAGGTACATTATCTTGATTTACAAGTTCGAAATCTCCTCCTATTAATGCTTTACCTATACTTTTAACTTTGTTTATTTCTTTAAGTGATTTTCTTTTGTCTCTAAGATACATTACAAATGCTGTAATAGAAAAGCAGTAATTAAGAGATACAGGCGGGTACAAAAATAATTTCAAATACAATTAAATATATTTACCAGTAAAACATCCTCCTATTACAAGAGTCCACATAACAGTCGTCCACGTGACTGGTCCTTTTGTAACCTTTTTTGGAGGAGGAGGAAGTTGATGAGTGAATCTTTTTATTATATTTCCATTATGATGATGATTTGTAATGGGAGATAATACTAAGGGTTTCCCATTAACGTTCCTCAATATTTTTACATTGAATTGTTTATTTTGTATTGCATAGGATTTCTGATTTCTATACACTAAACCTTTTTTTATGTGATAATTATTATTATTGTTATTCTGAAGCAAAAAAAAAAAATTTAGCGTTATGAACATGTACATAGGAGAAAAAAACTGATAATTTGAGATAATGTGAATTAAAATAATTTCTTTAATTATTTCGCGATGAATTGTAACTTACTAGTGATTTAATAAAACTATTTTGAATAACTCGTTTTAAATTTAATGCAAACATTTTATTTAATTATTTCTAGAGTAATAAATATTGTATACACTTATAGTACATAGTTGCTCTTAAAACTTATTTTAGTGAAAGTTGGCAACATTGTAAAAATTTCGGTTAAAATGTGGCGTTCTAATTTATGCAGTTTTGAATTTTCTTGTTTTAAATTTAAATTAAATTATTGATAATCGAACAAAATTTTTAATATTTTTTTGTTAAATTGTGATTATATATAATTATAATAATTTTAAATTTAAAATTTAAAATATTGGCGACATTTTTTTAATTTTCGGCGCGATTTTAAAGTGAGAAAATTGTCGCGTACATTTTGAATTCTTGCATTTCATAAAAGCAAGGTTTGGTGAAACGTTGGTTTTTTTTTTTTTTTTAAATAAAATAATAAATAAATTCAGTTGTGGAATTTATTTTGTAAAAAAAAAAAGTTTTAATAAGTGTCGTACAATATTCAATAAGTTCATTTTCAAAGTGTTTTATTATAAATAATTTTTCCTAATCTGGGATCTCTGGATTTGGTTCTCTCTCTAAAAAAATAGGAGTGAAAGAATAAGGTAAGGTCATTAAAATAATTTTTATTATAAATAATAGGAAACAAAAAAGGGGGTTGTGGGAAATATTCTTATATTCATATTTTTTTTTAAAAAAATTTACTACATAAATTATTTATTAATATTCGATAATTAATAATCAAGTTAATCCATCACCATTAATTGCAATAACTTCTTGTTCGCTTTTCATTTCTTCGACTAAATTTCTATATTTAGCTGACATTTTTTCATTTTTTTCCACTCCATCTCCTCTCTTATACATAATACTAAGATTTGCACATGCATATATGTTTCCTACAAAAAAAAAAAAAATGACAAAATGATGATGATGATGATGATCGTGATAATAATTTTACATTCGAGTCGAGTAAATGAGGAAAAAAAAAAAAATTGTAATTACCCAATTCGCATGCTTTTTCAGAGTATTGAAATGCTAATTCCATATTTTTTTCTACAACTTTATCTTCAGAACCATTTATATAAAGCCCTGATAAATAATAACAAGCTGGTGTGATATTTAATTTACATCCTTTTTCGAGTAATTCTAAACCCTTTGTATAGTCTTTTTCTTTATTCGGATTTGATGTTCCTGTGATTGTAAGCATTCCAGCATTAAAACAAGATGCTCCATAATCATAAGAGCAAGCTTTTAAGAAATAATTAAATGCCTGAAACATGAATAAATGTTTTTGTGTTTTTCATTTGAATTTTCACTTTTCGATTTTTTATAATCCAACTCTCACCGTTTCGTAATTTTTTTTTTCTTGACCTTTACCGGTTGCAACATAATTTCCATAAGCGTGACAACTTCTCGGATGATTGAAATCATCACAATTGGCTTTATATATTTTAGCTGCTTTTTGAAAATCATTTTTAACTACTTCTAAATAATCTCCTAATAAATGACAAACTAAAAAAAAAGGGGGACATTTTGTCGTTAAATTCAAAAAAAAAAAAATTTCTCTCTCTCTCTCTCTCTTATTTTTAAAAAATAAAATTCAAAATTTAACGTTTTTCATTAACCGTTTTATAATAATAATAATAATTTAATCTATATAACCTTATTTATAAAATATTTTCTTTTGTCAAACGACATTTTTTTTTTTTTTATTTCAAATTTTATCATTTTCATAAAATTACCTTCGGGTTTTTTCTCTGAAAAACAACCGTAACGATATTCTATTCCGATATTTTCAAAATATTCTTTTAATTCTTCTTTCGTCTTAAATTTTACTGCCATTTTGACTATATATCATTACAACCAAACCTTAGCAGAAGACGTCATGTATATATAAATGCATGTATACTTTTTTTTTTACGGTGTTGCCAATTTTATTACGTTCGCGAGGAAAAAAAACAGGGGGATCCCCTTTTTTTAAAAAAAAAAACTCGTTTCATTTCGTTTTCTGAACGTTTTTTTAGTTTCGGTAAAAAATCAAAAGATGTCAGCAGGGGTTTAAATAAAAATTACAACATTTAATAATAATAATTATTTAATAATAATAATAATAATACTTTGGCTTACACGTGCGCGTGTATACATATAAAGCAACAAAAATAATAATAATAATAATAAATCACGTTATAACCGTGGGTTTGTTTCGTCCGGTGAATTTTTCCAATTCCGAAACGTCGAGTGCAATTTTTATCAGGGGTTTTAATTTTTCCTGAAACAAAAAAATTTTTTTAACTATACAAAATGTATATAAAAAAAAACGTTAGATAAATGACGACGGGGACTACTGACTTGGGGATCCGATGATGACGTCATTTCGGTCACGGTTTTCTCGTATGATTCGACGTATAATCTCACGGTCGCGCCGCTACTTCCGGTTCCGCTCAATCTAAATATTATTCTCGAACCATCGTCGAATATGATTCGAATTCCCTGATTTTTAGCAACGCTCCCGTCTATCGGATCCTTGTATTCGTAATTATCACCCAATTTAACTTTGTACCTTTTCCCATCCCTCTCGTAAACGGTTCCGGGAAATTTTGGATTCGTGACGTCATTTTCTAATTTTCTCATCATTTCCGTACAATTATCCGAATCGCATCCCTCGTAATCGTACCTTTTCATAAAAGGAAATGAATATTTTTTTGATTAATTTTTCCCAACCGGAAGTGAATGAATGAATGAATGAATGATAATGAAAGTATCACACCTCGTGAAATAATTCCTTCCGTATTCCATCCAATGTTTTTCCAATATTTTATGAACGGGAAGATTCAAGTCTTGCACGATGCTCAACCAAGCAAGAACGGTCCATATCCCATCTTTTTCTCTCACGTGATCAGATCCCGTACCGAAACTTTCCTCTCCGCAAATCGATATCTTTTGTGCATCCATTAAATTTCCAAAATATTTCCAACCCGTGGGTACTTCGTAGAGATTCAAATTTTTCTTTTTCGCCACGACGTCGACGGACGAACCCGTCGGCATGCTCCTCGCAAAACCTTTGATCCCCGTTTTTTTAAAATAAGGTATCGACGTTAGGTGATCCGATAGAACGGCGAGAGAATCCGACGGATTGACGAAAAATGCCTTTTCTCCGAGAATCATGTTACGGTCCTGATTCGACAAAAAAACAACCAAATTACATTAATATCTCATCTCGGCGGGGGAGGGGGTGGAGGAAGGGAGAGAGGGGGAATGAGGGGAGGGGAGGGGAGGGGGAATACGTACTCCGTCTCCGTCGAAAGCGGCACCGAAATCTCGATCACCATTTTTCAACATATCAACCAAATCCGAGGCATAAGTTAAATTAGGATCCGGATGCAAACCCCCGAAATCATGCAACGGTGTCACGTTGACGGCGCTCTCCGGCGGTGCTCCCAATTCATCCAAAAATATTTTTTTCACGTAAGGTCCCGTAACTGTATTAAAACAAAACAAAAAAAACGTGTCACTAGAATGAAACTCTTATCATCATCATCATCATCATCATCTTAAATTAAAAAAAAAAAAACTTAACCTCCGTTCATTGAATTAATTAACAATTTAAAAGGTTTCCCATTTTTTTCTTCGCTCCTCCTCCCTACTATTCCTTCCGCAATAAGTTTTTTCAATTTATCGAAATCGAATATCGATTTCATCAATTCCAAATAATCGAATATCGAATCGATTATTTCCACGGTGAAATCCCTTCCGTCGACACTAAACGTTTCCGATCCGATTTTCGTTATGTCGACTTCCAAATCGGAAACGATCGAATATTCTCGAATATTTTTCGAACATTCGTAAATTTTATTCGTTACAGCATCCGGTGCTGGACCTAAATCAGAAAAAAAACGTTTTTTACAACGAATTTAAACTTTATAACGTTTTCATTATCATTATCATTACCTCCATTCGACGTGTTAAATTTAATACCGAAATCCGCATTTGGTCCACCGGGATTATGACTCGCGGTGAGGACGATGCCCCCCGTTGCACAATATTTCCTGATTATACATGAAACTGCAGGAGTTGACAATATACCATTTTGACCAATCAGTAATTTTCTCACCTAAATAATAATAATAATAATATTTTTAACGATTACGTTCTCCCGTTATCATCATCATCATCAGTTGATAATGATGATAACGCGAGTTTATTTACTTTTAACCGACAAAAACCGAAATTTCTTACTTTGTTCGCTGCCGCTATTTTAATTATTAAAGAAATGGCTTCTCTTCCGTAATACCTTCCGTCTCCCCCGACGACGAGGACAAGAGGTTTTTCCAAATTTTTTTCTTCGAATGAATTAAATATCGATTGTATAAAATTTTCCGTGTAATTTTCCTGTTGAAACGTTTTCACGCTTTTCCTCAATCCGCTCGTACCTGGTTTTTGTCCATCGTAACTTTTCGTTTTGATCGTTTTCGCCGCGTAATTCATCGTTTAATTAATAATAATAATTGAAAATACCAAAACCTGAAAATTCGAAACCTTTTCCCTTAATAATAATAATAATAATGATAATAATTAATCATTTAAATTTCGAACGAGATTCGAAATTTTTCTCACGGTCTTCAAATACACCATTACTACATACATACATATATATTACTAACCTTGTAGAGGGCGCAGTGTTACAAACTTAAATTTATCATTTTTCAATGCAGTGCAGCCAATCGTTTTTCCATATTAATTTTAAACATTCATTCGAAAACATTCGATTTAACGGTTTTTCTCTCTCTTTTGAAAAAAACAATAGAAATCGCGTCGTAATTTAATGTACGTGATTTAACATGATGAATCGTTATTCGACAAATTTTCCATTGTTTCCCATATCGCTCACGTTAATAATAATAATAATAATAATAATAATACTAAGTAACAGCGAATGCGACGTCGATCATTCTAGAAAAGAAAAAAAAATTGTTTTAATTTTTACGAACGAACGAACGAACGAATGAATGAATGAATGAATTTGACAACGTACGCAATTACGCAACGTCATCGAAAAAGAGATATTTCTTAATATCGATTAATTTAATTACCATTTTAAAATCGACGACGACTTTAAATTCATAATTAAAAAAAAAAAAAAAAAAAAACATGGCGGCGATTCGTCTCGTGTGAAATTTTTAAAGTTCAAAAAGGTCAACAAAGGGGTCGCCATTAAAAAACTTTCATTTTTTTTTTTTTTTTTTTTTTTTTTTAAATCATCTCATCATTGCTGCCAAATTGAGCTTTTTTTCTTGTTGCCAAATTTAAAAAAAAAAAATTTCCCTTCGACTTTCTTTTTTTTTAACGGTTAAATAATATTATTATTATTATTATTATAATTCCAAATCGAATGATTTTTAAATCGGTTATAAATAAATTATTAGGAATTTTTATATAAATACCTGTTTGTCCATAAGATGAAAATTTGCCAAGTTATGTAAGAAAACGGTTTTCCCGATTTCTCTCTCTCTCTCTCTCTCTCTCTCTCTATCTTCCTTTCTCTCCTTTTCTCTTCTTAAGAATCCCTTCTCCAATGAGAAAAATAATAATAATAATAATAATTCGTAACGATGATGTTTATTTTTGGAAATATCCAGTAAATCCCACGTATTTTGCGCCTGTACCTGAAACGAGAATTTTTAGAGTTTAATTAAACGAGTGAAATTTTCATTTTTTCACAGTTTTCATTCGTTACTTTCACTTTAAAGTTTTAATACCTGAAAATAATAAAATTAATAAATTAATAATTTTTTTTTTTTTTTATTTATTTATTTAAAATGAATTTTAAATTTAATAAATTTTCATCATCATTATTATTGAATTTTTTATTATTAGTTGTGATACGAGCAGCAGACGACGACAACGACGACAACGACGACATTAATAATTTATTAAAGTAAGTAAAAAATCATTATCATTATCATTATCATTATTACTATTATTATTATTATTATTATTATTTGACAATTAAATTTAAATGGATGAAATCAATTTTTAGCGCCATCGGAGATGCTTTGAATGCTGGTGGTGCCCTATACCGACAACAGGGCCTCTACTATCCTTTCAACAACGGGATTAGTTTGAAAGTGTACGAAGCTCTTCAATCCATAACCAGGTACGACGAACTCGAATGCGTTCCCAGGTTGTTGTGCGAAGCTGCTGCCGGAGGACGACCGGGTTACAGCGGAAGACAATTAAATTTCGATAAATCCTCATTGACGACGTAAGTACCCGTTTAACTGTGATTCATCATTTTCGATTATCGATTCGATTATCGATCGATTATAATTAACTCTCGCTCGCTCGCTCGCTCGTTTTTTCAGGTTCATATCGTATTTAAACATAGGCACGACGAAATATTCACCTTTGTTGACATTCGCGAGAGCTGCTCTTCTGGGTGTTTCAAATCGCGGGGATCCCTATTCGTGCATAATAAATTATTCGAAATGTCCGAAAGATCAAAATCGTCTCCTTTACTATTTGAACAATCACAGAGGAGGATTTTTCCAATATTTCGATAACAAAAATTATAATAATAATAATAATAATAATAATAACGTGTACGATAATTATCGACCCGTTTATTATCAAAATAAATATAAGAAAAAAAATAAAATAATTTTTCAAAATCCGACAGAATTTATTCAAAAATTAAAAAAAACGGCGGAAATCATCGGAACCTACGCGACGAAATACGCAACGTATTCTCCACATTTTAAATTTCCCGATTATGTATTTAATGGTTTTTACGACGATAGAGAAAAATACGCAAGAAAATATAAACCGATGGTTTTTCCGGAAAGCAGGAGAGACGAAACGACGATAAATCCGAGAATTTTAACGCAAAATAATAAAAGGAAACCTTATGGCCACCACAGCGGCGGAAGTGGCAGCAGCAGCAACAACAACAACAACAACAGCAATTTTTTCAATTCGATAAGAGATTCGAAAACTATAAAGGATAATAATAATAATAATAAATTTTTTTCTTTTCCCGAACAAGAAACGAATAGAAAAAAATTTGGAAAATTTATTACGGATCGACTTCCGGTTAAATTTAATTTTCCATCGAGTGAATACGGTGGCGACGGTGGCGACGACGACGGCGGCGACTACCAACATTCGATAAATCGATCGAAATCGTTTTTTCCAGAGAGTTAATAAAAAAGAACCGGAAGTAAATCCATTTCTAAACCTATACATTGTACACTTTGTGTAATTTTTTATGATGCGTAATAATAATAATAATAATAATAATAATAATAATAATAATAATAATAATAATAATAATGATAATGATAATGATAATAACAATAATGATGACGATGATGATGATGATGATGATACTTATTTTTTAACATTTTTTTTTTTTTTAAATTAAAATACAATTACGTTTTTTTTATTTTGTTTTTGTTTTGCATTCGAATTTTTCCGTGACCTTTGACCTGATTCCTTTTTTTTTTTTTAATGCTAACGTAAGAGAATACGTAAATAAATTTATATTAATGTGTATATGTATATATATATTATTGTGTTTGTTCCCGAAACGAAACTTATTAAAAACTAGTAATAATAATAATAATAATAATAATATTAAATTTTTCCATTTGGAAAAAACCCCAAAACTCTTAATAATAATAATAATAATAATAATTTGTTAATTAATTAAATTATTAAGATTCGTCGATAAAGATTAATTTAATAAAATCCGCGATTATAATTGACACTTAACAAAAAAATGAAAATTCATTACGTAACATAATCGATGACGTAATAAATTTATAATTTATTCATTTAGTAAATATAAATTTTCGAAAAAAAAACCAATTATTATTATTATTATTATTATTATTATTATTATTATTATTATTATTAAATTTTACGTTTTCATAGCCGAAAGGGGAAAGCGGAGGGGGGGAAACATCTTAATAAAATCTTCCTTTTTTTTTTTTTTTTTTTTTTTTTTTGGAAATTTTTCACTTCCCGTTTTTCTATTTCAAGTTTCCCCACCCCTCCCCCCTCCCCCCGAAATAATTATTTAACGCCATTCAACGAAATATTATTCCCACCCGTTAATCCAAATCAATAGTAATAACAAAATAAATAAAATAACGATGATGATGATAATAATAATAATAATAATGATGATGATGATGATGATGATAATAATAATAAAACTTTGAGCGATCGCATTTGAAACGATTGATATAAAAAATTGTTAAACATGTAAATACTAGACGCGGCCTTGTTTCGCCCGATCTTTCGTTATACACGCGCAAAAGTAAAAAAAAAAAATTTTTTTTTTAAATTTTTTTTTTGTTTTTAAATTTTAATTTTAAATCGTATTGATATTATTATTATTATTATTATTATTTTAACGAAAGTATAAATTTTAAAAAAATCATAATAATAATAATAATAATTTTTCGTTTTGTTACGTTTCTTTTTAAATTTAAGTTTACGTGTGTTTGTTTCGAATTATTATTATTATTAACATTCGAAATCGAATCGGGACCGTCGCGGATGTAAAATAAATTTTATTTATTTATTTATTAAAAATAAATAAATAAAAAATAATCTTTCGTCATTTAAATCGTCGAGATAAATCATAAAAATTTGTGAAGATTTTTTTTTTTTTTTTTAAATTTTAAGTTTAAAAGTTTAAAAGTTTAAAAGGTGAGAAAAAAAAATTATTAAATGTTGCGTGTGAGTGTGTGAGAGAGAGAGAGAGAAAGAGAATTAATTTTATAAGGAAAAGAAAAAAGATAGAAGAAAATCACAGCAGCATGTGTGTGTGTGTGTGTGTGTGTGTGTGTGTGTGTGTGGGTACAAAAGTAAAAGAAAAATTTTTTATGTGTATTTTTGGGGGGAAAGGGAAAGAGAGGAGGAGGAGGTTCACGGGGAGGGGGAAAAGAAGGAATAATTGTTGTTTGTTTTTTCCCTCCCCCTCTTCCAGAATTATATTACAGAAGATATGAAATTTAAAAAAGAAACGAAAACATGGAAAATATCCGGGGATGTGGATACGGAAAGCGAAGCAAACGATTGCGAACCACTTTTAACGGATGCTAGTGACGTAAGCAGAGGAACTTTCGGGTAAATTTTAAATTTTCTTTTCTCACATTTTTTTTTTTTTTTTTTTTTAAATTAAATTAAATTAATTTTTATGATTTAAATTCGACAAAATCTATTCGAATAACGAAAGGGATTAATTATTTCGAATCATCAGGTTGAAGAATCGAAAGTCACGAACCGCCATTTTAAAAAAATAATAATAATAATAATTTTGACTCGCTTACCATATTTATAGAACAACGTGCATGTTTCCCGATGCATCGGAAACGACGGATTTCGATTCGTCCAAACAAATGGAAACAAATGGTACGACGAATTCGAGCGATTCCGGAACGCCTAGGGAAATCCCCTATTTTTTCGGATCCCTTTTTAAAAAACCTAAAATAGAAAATACGGTCGATGATGCTTTGTCCAGGTTTAAATATTATAGTAAAATTAAAAATTTCATACGAAGGGATGATACTTGTCCGGTAAACAATTATCATTATCATCATTATCATTATCAAACTCATATGAAAAATAAATAATAAAAAAAAAAAAAATGGAAATTTTTCCAGAGATTATACGATCATGGAGTACCATCATCCGTTTTCGTTCCATACATTCCAGGATCGGATCATCAATCGGGAAAACAAAGCAGCATCGTTACAATGTATAATAAAATATTATCTTTACAAACTAACAATTATCATCATTATCATTATCATTATTATTATTCAAAAATTTTTACAATTGCAGATTTTCCATATGGAACACTATTATCGGTTCCTCGTTATTAACGATGCCCTGGAGTATGGAAAAATCCGGGTTGGCCAATGGGATTTTTTTAGTCATACTCATGGGAGCACTTTGCTTATACACGGCTTATCTACTATTAAGAGTTCAACAACTTCACGGTTAATAATAATAATAATAATAATAATAATAATAATAATAATAATAATAATAATAATAATAATAATTAAAACGGTACAATTAAATAATATATGTAAACACACGTTTAAACGTTTTTTTTTTTTTTTTTTTTTTTTTTGTAACACTCAGGTGGTGGACACGTGGATTGGGAAGTGGCTGATTTATCCGGATATCTATTAGGAAAACAATCGGAAATGATAGCCAAGATATTTTCATTGGTTGTTTTAATGGGCGCGTTAATTGTTTATTGGATATTAATGTCAAATTTTTTATTTCATTCCGTTGATTACGTTTACGGTAAATAAAAAAAAAAAACAATTTTTTTTTTTGCGCGCGGCATCCAATCAATCAATCAATCAATCAATCGTTTGTTTTGTTTTCTACAGAGAGAATAAACGGATTTCCAAATGAAAACGTTTACGGTAACGTATCCGTTATTTGCCTCAATAATTATTCGCAATTAACGATTAACGTCGAACAAACGTCGATTGTTAAAAGATTAACAACAACAAACGAAAACGTCGGGGATTTCGATTACGATGATGATGATGATGATGATTATAATAATAATAATGATGATTTTTTACCTTTTTATCGTAAAATTTGGAATTATCAAACAACGGTTCCGATATTTTTAATTTTAATCATTGGTCCACTCGTTAATTTCGAAAGTGCAACTTTTTTCACGAAATTCAATTCTTTGGGTATGTTTCTGTCTCTCTCTCTCTCACTATTTTATTAATGATCTAAAACAAGTAATAATCGTTATTATTATTATTATTTTCAGGTACTTTATCAGTTTTGTATTTGTTATTTTTTGTTACGGTTAAAAGTTACGCATGGGGTATAAACGTTGATTTTTACTCTGATAAAAATCCTTATCACATACCTAATTTTAACATTGATTTCCCCGTTTTAACCGGAATGCTCGCTCTTGCTTTATTCATTCATAATATTATAATAACCGTTATGAGAAATAATAAACATCAAGAAAAAAATGTAAGATTTCCATCTTCTTCTTCTTCTCCTTCTTTTACATTTAATGGTTGTTGTTGTTGTTGTTTATCAATTCCTCCATTTTCTTTTTTCTAGGGAAGAGATTTATCGATTGCTTTCATATTAGTCGTATTAACTTATTTAATTGTCGGTGTTGTTTTTTACATAGCATTTCCACTTGATAAACATTGCATTGAAGCTGTAAGTTTTTTTGTTTTTTAATGTTTTTCTCTAATAAAAAATTATTTTAAATAAAAAAAAATTAATAAAAATTTTTGTTTTTAGAACTTACTAGATAATTTTCAAAATTCCGATTTCATGACAGTCGTAGCGAGAGTTTTTTTATTCTTTCAATTGGTCACAGTTTATCCTTTGATTATTTACATGTTAAGAATACAATTATTTACAACTCTTATAAATAAAGTGTATCCTGGTATGCCACAAATATTACTTTTCAATTGCGTCATCATAGTCATTTGCGTTTCTTTTGCCATTTTCTTACCTAAAATAGGAACGATTATCAGGTAATTATAATACAATCATTATTATATGCTTTCATAATGTTTCAATCGACTTAAAATCCATTGTATATTTCAGATTCACTGGAGCACTCAGCGGTTTCATATATATTTTTACATTACCTAGTCTATTACATTTGTCATCTTTGAATAAAAGAGGGCAAGCAACATGTTGTTCGATTATTTTTCATTCACTAATTATCATTTTAGGTTTTGCTAATATAGTTGCACAATTTTTTATAACAGAGCATTGATTAATTTTAATAATAATAATAATAATTACTTTTTGTACAAAGTTTTCATAGTTTGTAATTACTTTTTTTTTTTTATTTATTTATTTATTATAAAAATATTATTATAATTTATTTACTGTAAAAAAAAAAAAAAACGGTTTATATTAGGTTATTATATGTTATAACATGATTTTATAAATAACAAACTATAATTTCTACAAACCTAATATTTTTTTTTTTAAAAAATTTTTTCTTTATTTTATTTCATAGACCCATACTGTATCTATACCTAGTCCTATAGTTTTTATCGGTTTAATGTTATTTAATGGAAATCTACATGCGATTATGTATGAGTCTTTTTCTAATTCTTTTAAGAATTTCACTTCCAATTCTTCCATCTTGAAAAAAAAAAAAAAAAATTCAATTTTAAGGTTTTAATTAGCCTAAATGAAATGTTATTTCAAATGGGAAATGACAATCGAGTTTTTTTCAAAGAGATTTGTTATAGAGTATAAAAATGTTTTACCATCGAATCGACTCCAAATATAACAACATTATTATATGGTTTCAAGTCAAATTTCCACAAATCGCATTTTAAAAATTTTGTTTTCCCGTTTAATTTCAAATAGTAAGCAGTCAATTTTGAATAAATAACAAGCCAAGGATTAAGTTCCAAACCGGTTGATTTAAAACCTTTTTTAGCAGTTGCAAAAACCTGAAAAATATAAATTTTTCTTTGGAAAAATAAATTTCAAATTTTTTTTTTTTTTAAAAGATGGAGAACTAACGATTCTTCCATCGCCACTTCCAAGATCTATTAACGTTCCAGATCTACCCCTGAGAGCTTCTAATACATTTGAAATTTGTTTATCCGTTGCTGGCACGTATGGCAAACAAACTCTTCGAAAAAATGGAAAAATAAACGGTAGACTAACAGCGGTTAAACCGATACCGAGACCACCTATAAAAAAAACATTTAAATGGCGGAAAAATCATTTTTTTCAAACGAACGAACTTAATATCGAAAACTCACTGACTAAAGTTCCAAAAGCAACCGCAACGGTTGAAGCGGGAGATTTTTTTGAACTGGTGTTCTGGAACACTTCGTTTAAATCCATGAATACGTTACTATAAGAGAAGCGTGTGTTTGATAAATTTGCCGCTTGGGGTACGATTCGAAACGTCTTGTAGAAATTCATAGAGTAAATAAACGGATTCAATGCAATAGAGTTACAAATGCTTTTAATTTTACGGTTAAAAATGCCTTATTTGCCAACAATATAATTATGGCCTGTACTCGGCCACGTATTTAATAGTTACATTTATTGTAAATAAAAATATAACTAAAATGGTGAGAATAAATTTTTTAAAACGCCTTACACTTTATTAATAATTCTTATCCGTTATTTATTTTTATATATAAAAATAATCTTTCGAAAATTGCTTACTCTTCACAATACGCTTTAATTTGTGATAACGTTTTTGTAATGTGTCACAAAAATAAAATTTTTGTCAATTTGTTTTTTAAAAGTCGTTTTTATTATAATAACATCGAAATCGAATGATTGATCATTAAAATAAAAATATTGGGTTTTTTAAATAAAATTTGTTATTTTTCATTATAGCCACTTCGTTTAGATATAAAGAGAAAACTCACGACAAGAACAGACCGGGTTAAATGTGTCGATTTACATCCTACAGAACCGTGGGTTCTTTCATCACTTTACAATGGTATTGTTGATGTATGGAATCATGAGACACGTCAATTAACTAAAACTTTTGAAGTATGCGATTTACCTGTCAGATCGGCCAGATTTGTACCTAGAAAAAATTGGGTGATTACTGGTTCGGATGACATGCAAGTCAGAGTTTTTAATTATAACACATTGGAAAGAGTTCACGCTTTTGAAGCTCATTCTGATTATGTCAGATGCATTGCAGTGCATCCAACTCAACCATACATTTTAACCAGCAGCGGTAATTATTGTTAATGTACTTAAATTAAATGATTTTTTTTTATTTTTATCGTAAATATATAAATATTTTTAGATGATATGCTTATTAAATTGTGGAATTGGGAAAAACAGTGGGCATGTCAACAAGTTTTCGAGGGACACACACATTATGTTATGCAAATAGTAATTAATCCTAAAGATAATAACACATTCGCTAGCGCTTCATTAGATAGAACCGTTAAAGTAAATCATTTTTCATTTTAATATTTTTATTTCGAAACCTGAAAAATGTATTTCACAAGGTAAAATTTTAAAATGGCTTTCAGGTTTGGCAACTTGGTTCTTCGACTCCTAATTTTACTCTAGAGGGTCACGAAAAAGGAGTAAATTGTGTTGATTATTATCACGGTGGGGACAAACCATATTTGATATCGGGAGCAGATGATAGATATGTTAAAATTTGGGATTATCAAAATAAAACATGTGTTCAAACATTAGAGGGCCATGCACAAAATGTTACAGCAGGTATGTAAGAAAAGTTAAAATTTTTAATGATGTCATGAAGGTTCTACGAGTAAAGAAAATTTTTTTTTTTTTTCTATAGTTTGCTTTCATCCGGAATTGCCTATAGTTTTAACAGGATCTGAAGATGGTACTGTTAGAATATGGCATGCTGGAACATACAGATTGGAATCTTGCCTTAATTACGGATTGGAAAGAGTTTGGACAATAGCTAGTTTACGTGGTAGCAACTACGTTTCAGTCGGGTAAATATTCACATTTTTAAAAGTAATTTTAACACACGATAATAATAATAATAATCTTTTGCTTTTTTGTAAAATTTCAGGTACGACGAAGGTAGTGTTTTAGTCAAAGTAGGTAGAGAAGAACCAGCAGTTTCCATGGATGTGAATGGTGGAAAATTAATATGGGCAAGACACTCGGAATTACAGCAGGCAAATTTAAAAGCCATGGGAGAAGATGCTGTCGTCAAAGATGGAGAAAGATTACCTTTAGCCGTTAAAGACATGGGAAGCTGTGAAATATATCCTCAAACGATCGCACACAATCCCAACGGAAGGTAAAATTTAATTAATTTTTTAAAAAATTCGTTTTTTACGTCACGTTTGTAAAAATTTTTTTTTTTTTTTTCAGGTTTGTCGTCGTTTGCGGAGATGGAGAATATATAATTTACACCGCTATGGCTTTAAGAAATAAGGCTTTTGGTTCTGCGCAAGAATTCGTTTGGGCACAAGATTCAAGCGAATATGCCATTCGAGAAAATTCCTCCACCGTAAAAGTATTTAAAAATTTTAAAGAAAGAAAAAATTTCAAACCTGATTTCGGAGCAGAAGGTTCGGTTTTAAAAAAAAAAAAATATTCCCAACCTCCTATTAATTATTCTCATAGATCTTAATTTTCTCTCTCTCTCTCTCTCTCTCTCTTTACTTTAGGAATTTTCGGAGGTTATTTGTTAGGAGTTAAATCAAGTTCGGGTCTCGGACTTTACGATTGGGAAAGTTTAGAACTCATAAGGAGGATCGACATTCAACCCAAACACGTGTTTTGGAGTGAAAATGGCGAATTGGTTTGTTTGGCTACGGAAGAAGGTTATTTTATTTTGAAATACAATCAAAATGCCGTCGTTAAAGCGAGACAAGATAAACAATCGATAACGGAAGATGGAATCGAGGATTCGTTCGAGGTAAGTAGCAAACATTTTCTAATTGAGTCATATTAATTTTTTAAGTTTTGAATTTTCTTTCAGGTACTGGGTGAAGTTCACGAAACTGTCAAAACGGGACTTTGGGTCGGTGATTGTTTTATATATACAAATTCCGTAAATAGAATTAATTATTACGTCGGTGGAGAAATCGTGACCATAGCGCATTTAGATCACACGGTTTATTTATTAGGTTCGTATGAGGGGGGAAGAGGTTCATCTTTTAAGAGGTTCGAGTCGTTTTAAAAGGGGAAAAAAAATTTTTTTTTTTTTTTTTTTAAAGGTTACATCGCGAAAGAAAATAGACTCTATTTGGGAGATAAGGAATTAAACGTCGTGTCCTACAGTTTACAATTATCAGTTCTCGAATATCAAACTGCTGTCATGAGGCAAGATTTTGCCATAGCTGACAGAGTGTTACCAACCATTCCAATCGAATATAGGACAAGAGTGGCACATTTTTTGGAAAAACAAGTGAGATATTTCTCTCTCTCTCGCTCTCTCTCTCTCTGGGAAATTGAAATTTAAAAAAAAAAAAATGTTTGTTTTCTCCCACCCCCTTCCCTCCGTAGGGTTTCAAACAACAAGCCTTAGCCGTTTCTACGGATCCGGACCACCGTTTCGATTTAGCACTTCAATTAGGACAACTCAACACTGCCTTAACATTGGCTAGAGAAGCACAGGCACAACAGAAATGGAGGCAATTGGCGGATTTGGCAATACAAAGAGGTGAATTGACGCTGGCGCAAGAATGCCTTCACAACGCTCAAGATTTCGGCGGTTTGTTACTCTTGGCTACAGCTTCCGGTTAGTTTTTCTTTCTTTTTTAAATTAAAACCTTTTCAAAAATGATTATCATTATTCTCATCCTTATAAATTTTACAGGGAATGCAGAAATGATAAAAAAATTAGGGAGTAGCAGCATTGAAAATGGTAAAAACAACGTTGGATTTTTATCCTATTTCTTATACGGAGATTTAGATAAATGTTTAGACATATTGATAACAACGGATAGACTTCCGGAAGCTGCATTTTTCGCAAGGTAATAAGGTTTCGAGAGAGTCGCGGAAAACAAGGGCGCGGTACGGGGAATAAGATTTCGATTAACAATTTTATGTAAATTCTTTTGCAGAACTTACATGCCTAGTAAAATTTCATACGTTGTCGAATTGTGGCGTGAATCATTGAGTAAAGTCAACGAAAAAGCCGGACAATCCCTTGCGAGTCCGGATCAATACGATAACCTTTTCCCAAATTTGTTGGATGCTCTCAAAACGGAACAATATTTGGCGGGTGAAAGTCAGAAAAAATTACCAGCTGCCGCTTATCCACACATACCGGTAAGTTGGGTGTGGTGTGGTGTGGGGAGGGGGGTTAGGAAAATTTCTCCTGATTTTTTTTTTTTTTTATTCCAACAGCAAAATCACGAGAGAAGCGCCATAGATGAAATGAAAGGAGCAGAATCGAGTGGAAAATTCACTTACATACCGACAACGGATTTATTCGCGTCGAAAAACGAAGACGATAACGAAATGTTTTTGGAAGCAGGTAAAGGATAAATTTCCGCCTTGGGTGGCGGTGGTGGTGGTGGTGATGACGTCACTAAAAGGATTTTTTTTTGTAGAAGGTTCACCCGAACGAATCGAAAGTTTGAAAACAAATTCCAACAGGTCGGAAATAATTCTTTCGGAACAAATAATCGAAAGGGAATCAATGGTGGAACCGTTAAAACCCGTGCCCGTGGGAGACCACAAAATGGAAAATTCACCCCGACCTGTCACCAATCATCCTCCCCCTCCCCCTCCCTCTTCTTCATCTCCTCCGCCCCCCGTTAATAATGATAATAATGATGAAGATGAAGATGACCTCGAACTTGATTTAGATAACTTACAATTAGATGATAATATTGATATATCTGTGAGTTTGTTTGTTTGTTTGTTTGTCTGTTTGTTGGGATCGTTTTGATTTTTTTTTAAAAATTTTTTTTGTCTTTTTAGGATATAAATATTGATGAAAATTTGCTTACGGATGATTAAGTAACTAGAGGTAAAAGTTGAAAAAAAGGGAAAGAAAAGAAAGGCAAGAAAAGTGAAAAAAAGGGTTGTTAAATATGTGCCCCCCAGTTTTTGAAAATGCATCAGCAGAAAATGAAAATGAAAATTGTTATGATTATTATTAACTAATAAAAAAAATATAAATATATATTTATAAATTAAAGCTTGCGTGTCCATAAATTATTTTGATATTGAATCTTACTATTATCATTATCATTAATTATAATTTTTAAAAAGATTTAATGAGTAAATTGCAATGTCATGGCAATTCTGAGGTTAATATAATAAATATAAGTTAAATTTCTTTTCATTTTATAAAAAAAATAAAGATTTCGATTCGTTTCTTTCTTTTAAATTATTATTATAAAGAGTTTAAAAAAAATTTGTAAAATAAACTTACTCAATGGCCGCAGGGTCAATCCCACATGAAAAAAAAACCTTAATAATGTCCAATTATTTGATCTTGACATTTTAAAACTAATATAAATCATCAGATTACATCATTTTATTTATTTATTACGCCACATTATTATAAATTTTCACCTCACTACAAAATATTACAATTTTTTTTAAAAGAAAACCGTTACGTTTGATCCTTTCACTTACCCAAATTAAACTAAAATAACGTTCTGAAATGAAAAGGGAGGGAAAAAAATTTGCAGGGAAATTTGTCGCCAAAAGAAAACAAAGGATAAAATTCAAAAAATAAATTGTAAACAAAATTCCACAAAACGTTTTCTCATTTAATTAAAAATCCTATTTAAAAAAAAAAAAAAAATTTTTTTACAAATAAAAATAAAATCATTACCGGGACAAAATAATTAAAAATTTGTGTTTTTTTCATTCAAAACGACGTAATGTTTACTTTTTGATTTTCAAAACTATTTTTAATCTTTTATTTAAAAAAAAAAAAAAAAAAAAAGATTAAAGGCACTTTTTTTTTTAATTCGAAATGGCGGCGCCATTTTTTCATTTCGGCGATATATATAAAAAAAAAAAAAATTTTTTTCTCAATCCCGATCAAAAAGTAAACTATTATCATTTCGAAATTACAATTAATATTATTATTGTTATTATTACTCAAATTTTAAATAATAATAATAATAAATTTACACCCACACCCAATCATTTACAATCAATCAAAAAAAAAAAAAACAAAAAATTTATGAATTTTACAATCCCTTATTAAAATTTTTTTTATAAATAAATAATAAATAAATAAAGATAATAATAATAATAATAATCGACCGAAAATTAATCAATAACAAACAAACAAACAACAACAACAAACGCATTCTATCCATTAAAAAAAAAAAAAAAAAAAATTTTTTTTTTTTTGTTAACAAAATTTAAATGCAAGAGTAAAACACTACAAAACGTGTGTGTGTGTGCGTGTGCATGTGCACGTGCACGTGCACAATGTTTTTGTTTGTTCATTGTTTGTTCTATTGTTTGTTTATTGTTGTTGTTGTTGTTTTTTTTTTTTGTAAATTACAACAAACTCTTTTTAAAAAAAAATAAATAAACCAATCAAATTATTAAAATGACTTAATTTTTTTTTTTTTAGTTTAATCAATACAAAATTTTTATTAATAACAGTAATAATAATAATAATAATAATAATAATAATAATAATAATAATAATAATAATAATAATAATATTGATAATAATAGTAAAAGTAAAATAAATACAAAAAAAACGTTAATTTTATGAGTTGAGTAGTAGCAGTAGTAGTACGACTTTATACTTGTGAAATTATTTCATCATTTTTGTTCATAATTCCCGAATGTGTATTTGAGTGTGTGTGTGCGTGTGCGTGCGTGACACAAAAAGAGAGAGAGAGAGAGAGAGAGAGAGAGAGCAAGTGAAAATAAAATAATCAGAGACAGAGAAAATGTGGTTTTTCCTTCCTTCCTTTCTTCCTGTTCTTGTGAAACGAAATACTGATGTGTGAGTGAATTGTGGATTATATTATTTATTTATTTATATATAAATAATCTTTTGCTTGTTTTTTTTTTTTGTTCCTTCCATTTACCAGTCGGCTTTTATTCTAATTTTCTTTTTTTTTTTGTTATTTTTTTGTATTTTATTATTATTTATTTATTTATTTATTTTCCTCTCCATTTTATAAATATTTGTCGACTGTCGATTGGAGTTTTGTTATGTTTGCACCGGTGAAAGAATCGAGTTTGTTTCCATTTTTAATGAATACAAACGTGGGCATGGCGGATATGTCGTAATCGGCTGCTATTTCCTCATTTTCGTCAATGTCGACTTTGAGAAAAACCACGTTCGTGTATTGCAATTCCAATTCCTGAAAACAAAAATAATAATAATTATATTGATTTATTACGTCAAAAAAGACGAGGACAAGGAGAGGGGGAATGAGCGAGTAACGAGCGAGAGCGAGCGAGAGAGAGAGAGAGAGACAGAGAGAGGAAAACTTGCTAATATGACTAATATTGTAAATTACGTCATTTAAATTTTATTATGAGCGTGATGACGTCATAAAAAGTTTTTTGATCCCATCGTATGCTCGTTGTGTGTGTGTGTAAAAAAAAAATTGTTGTTAAATTTTAAATATTTTTAAAAAGAAACTTGTAATGATTCCCCCCCCCCCCCCGAATATATTTCTTCTTTTTCTCATCGTTTACTCTATCATTACCAACACCCACTAGACCCCCCCCTATTTTTCTCCAAATATATATATAAATTTAATATGACCTGGGAAAAATTTGGATAACCGACCACAATAAATAGAGAAAAGAAACCTTCGTAAAACAAAATGTCAATGACACGCACACGCACACGCACGCACGCACGCAATTTCCTCAGTTGTCGATGTTCTCGAGGGAAAATTCCAAATAAGGTTTCCTATTTTGGTTTCCCTTCCTTCCTTCCTTCCTTTTTTCCTTTTACGCAATTCACGACCCAAATTTCACACGTTATCATCTCAATGGTAAAAGTGTTGTAGTTAAAAAAAAAAAAAAAAACAATTTTCTCACAACGATAACGACATGTCACAGTGCCCTTTCACAGGTCCCCCTTAATGACAACATAATAATAATAATAATGATAAAATTTCACAGAAGAAAGTTTACGAGGAATTATTGTGCGTGTGTGAGAGAGAGAGAGAGAGAGAGAGAGAGAGAGAGAGAGAGAGAAGTAGAGAAATTACATTTGTTATGCAATATTTGCAAATCATCATTTATCTCTTTGGAAAATTTTTTCTTCTTTACATGTTTAAATCACGAATTCAATGAAAATTAATAAAAATTATTATTATTATTATTATTATTATTATTATTATTATTATTATTATTATTATTATTATTAACTTTGACTAATACCAGATTTAACGACCAGGTGACCTTGAATAATTTAACCTTGATCAATACAATACATGGTAGTTTGTGTTATATATATATACATTTATGTATATATATTTATTGATTAAACAGCTAAGGCATCACCTTCAATGACAATAATAATAATAATTGTAATAATAATAATAATAATGACAACAACAGAATGTTTGTTGAACAATTTAACAACAACAAAATGTTTTTTTTTGTCATGCGACAACAACTTAATAAGAGTTCCAGTAATTTTTTTTTTTTCAACTTTTCAACATTAAACCTTCATTTTCACTACTCTTGATTAAATTTTCAATTAATTTTTACTTTTAAATAATTAAAAAAACAATTTCATGTTTCTTTTCCACCCCTTTCCCCTTCCCTCCCCCCCATTCGTTTAAATTGTGAAAGTTGTGTATGTAAATATGAAAATGAATTCGACTGAATATTCGTAAAACTTTATGTACATGTGAATCGAAATTCACAAATTTGTAGCATAAAATGTATAACTGAATGACATCATTTATTAAGCAACAGGCCAAACATCATCATTATTTTATTTTTAAATGCTATCATAATAAGAAATATAATTATGATGATGATGATGATGATGATGACCAGATGAATGATGGCATCGATTTGATTAGCAAATTAAATAATACCTTAATGCTAACATACTCGTTTGGTAAAGCAATAATTCACACAAAAGCACACTCAACTTTTTTTTTTTTTTTTATGAATTCAAATGATTATGCAAATATTGAAACATTTGGTTTATGCATTTACAACAAATCGATAAATCATTAATAACACTGAATATTAAGCGAAACGTTATGAACACACACACACAAAAACAGTAAATCAAAGAAATTGATTAGCGACTTAAAAAGAAGATATTATTATTATCAACCTTTAAATATGCTTAATTTAAATAAAAACATGTCATATCTGTAATGATAATTTTTTTTTTGTTTGTTTGTTTCAAATTTTACTCGTGATTGAGATATATTTATATACAATAAATATTTTACTTTTTTTTTTTGGTTAGTTATTTAATATTGGATAACTCTGTACAATTATAAGCGAAATGAGATGAGAAAATTTTTTTTTTTTTTTTTTACCAAATTGTTTGTCATCGTTTATTATTATCATTAAGTCAAAGAGACAAAATGGTAATTAAAAACTCTTAAAAATGACTCAGTAATAAAAGGTTAAAATATTTGTTTCTTTCTTTTCATTTGAGTTTAAATATCAACCTTCACAACTCACAACCCCTTGCTACATATATAAAAGTTACCTAACGTTATTTAATTTCTTACTATTATTATTATTATTATTATTATTATTATTGATATTATATTAAAATTATTGTGTCAAGGTCGTAGAAAAATAATTGTAAAATTTACCTCTATTTTCGGCGCGATTTGTTTGCATGGACCGCACCAAACAGCATAAAAATCAATCACAACAAGCTTGTTTCCTGCTTCTTGGATTTTGACTGATAAATCTTTCTGTAATCAAACATTTTAAAAAAAAAAAAAAAAATTAAAAAAAATCACCATTAGGGATTTAAAAATTCTTTTCTTCTACGTTATTTTTCACGATTGATTTTTTTTTTTTTTTTTACATGCTCAAACATGGTTAACGATACCATGAGAAAAGATTTCAAAATTTGCTACGTATATATATTTATTTAATGTAATCAGATAATGTTTTTTATAATAATAATAATAACCGATTGATAAATTAAAAAAATTAAAAAATTCAAATAAATTACCTTTCCATTAACTTCGACAACCATTTTGATGATTAAATTTATATGAAATTAATTTAAAACCTAATACACAATGATAATAAAATACAAAAACACTGAGAAAACTCACAGAGTGTCACACTCTGACTGAAAATAACTCACAACTATCCTTCTAATATACTGCTAATCAAAATGGCTGACGGATTTCAACTACTACGTTAATTTTTAACCTTCTCTCCCACTTCATTTCCGTTAACTCATGTTTTTTCTTTAAAATTTTTTTTTTATTCTAAGAAATCCCTTCGTCTTTATTAAATTGTGAGAAAAAAAAATCTTTAAATAAATTTGATGATATCATTAATAAAAATTTTTAATATTACGTTATTATTATTTAATCGTTAATAAATATCGTTCATAAAAAACTTCGCGGGAAATTTTTTTGTACTACGTAATAAAAACAAATTTTAAAACGTGTTCGATATTAAACTGTTTAATGTGCTTTGAAGACTTCCAAAAAACTTTCAAACTATTAATCTTTTTAATTTATTAAATAATTATTATTATGTAATCAATATGTTAATCAATGATAATGATAATTGTGCATATAATTATTACTTTTTTTATTTAATGAGTTAAAAAAAATTATTATTATTATTAATATTGTGAATCGAATTTGATAATAATTTAATTTTTTTTATTATTTTTTATTTTGTACATATTAATACTGTAAATATTATCTAAATTATTAGAGAATAATAAATAAAAATCTTATAAAAAGAGGTTAAATAAATTCTTCTGATGAGTATTTAGTTATGGATCTAGGTGCAGGTTTGGGTTTTTCAATACCTAATTTTAAATTATTATATTCTGTAGTGAGACCTCCTATTCTTTCCGACGAAATTTTTGTTTTATTTTCAAAATTTTTTTCTATTAACTTCAAAACATCATCTAATAAAAATTTGACGTTTTTGTTAATTATTTGAGCCTGAAACAAAAACAAAAAATAAATAAATAAATAAATTCTCGTACGGAGAAAATGAAAACAATGGCCGTCAAATCGTGTTCATTCATAATCGTTTGATACATATTTTTCATTAAAAAATTACCTCAGATTCTGACGATTTGTGTAATTTTTTTGCACTTTGTAAAACTTTAAACTGAATGTTGAATATTTCATACAGTACGTCTTCGATAACATGAAATAAATGAGAAGAATATAATTTCATGCAATCTTCGAAAAGAGTCATGACTGATTTTGTAAAAGCAACAGTGTTTGATGTTAATTCGAGCCAACAATCTCCTGAAAAAAAATTTTCTCAATTACAAACAACAAACAACGGTATTCACATGAAAATGTCAACAAATAAACAAATGTAATAATACCCCTCGTGTAAACATGCACACTAGTCAATCCCAAATCATTAAATTCCGATATGAGTTTATTTAAATTATTTTTATTTGATAAATTCATTAAATGCCATTTTTCTTCTCCCGACCTATGTTTAATAGCTTCTATTAATTTATCTCTAGAATCTTGAAGTGCTAAAGTCACAGGTTTTAAAAACATTCCATCCATTTGATATTGAAGATCTAATCCAAAGTTACAAAGCTAAATGTACAAGTTAAAAAAATATAATAATAATAATAATTACATTACAATTACAATAACAATAATAATAATAATAATTGTATTGATAATATCAACCTGACTGTTTTTTTCTCTCAAACAAGAAACGCATTCCGATATAATTGATAATCCCGATTGCGGTACAAATATTTGTTTAATAACGTGAGACATGAAATGAGTTAATTCGGAATTCGACCAAATGACGAGTGACGCTAAGCAAGCAGAAGACTCCGGAAATATTTTACGAAATTCTTCGACCACGTCTAAAAGCGTCTGATAAAATATCGTACCTAATTGCCTGATGTATAAAATCGTGGCACCCTCTCTTTTAACGCATTTCAATTCTTTCTTCATTATGCTCGTGCAAAGTTTTAACATGGATTCGCATGCCTATGTTTAAATTGAAAAATAAAATTTTAAATAAAAAAAAACATGGATCTTTATACTTTTTACTTGAAAAAAAAAAAAAAAAAAAAAAGCTAAACACAACGTACTTGTATCGTTTTATTTAATGCAATGAGAAGTCTGACTGCACGTCTGGCCGCTCTCAAACCACCTTGTAAACTTTTATCCGGTGAAACTTCCAATTCTTTCATTAAAACATCGATTAAATTTTTTTTCCTATTCTCAATTTTATTTCTGAAAATTTTTGTCGATAATTTTTATCAATACTACTAATTTCTAAACAGAAAAACTTATTGTGTAAAAAATTAAACATACTTTATATCTATGACAACTGAATCTTTTTGTTGTTCGTCTAAACCATCACAATATTCTTTGCATTTATTGAGAAGTTCTAAAGCATCTTCAAAATGTCTTTCTGCTATGAATACATCGATTTCTTCTGGACTTTCTAAAAACCAATCTGGTAAATTTAAATTTGGAAATATTGATTCTTCATCGAATAAAGTTGTAGGAGAATCTATATTTATTGGTTCTTCGTTGGGAGCAGGACCAGTTTGACTTGATTCTCTTTTAATTTTTTCACTTGCAAGTATTGCTTTTTTAGCCTGATCTAAATGATCTAACCATTCTTTCTACATCCAAAAAAAAAAGGATGTTTAACATTTTTGGAAAAATTAATTTCTATAAACTCTGATGATTACCTTTGATTCAATCGAAGAACATTGAAATAGTCTCGTATCGGGATAAGCTAGAATTTTAAAAGCTCTTTCTATTGTTTTCAGATCTCTGACATTGACAACAGCCATACTATTTAAATTATACACAACATACATTTTATACTTTGCTGGTCCTCTCCTAAAAACCCATAACAAAAAAAAATTATCTTATGTAATGAGCGACAACAAATCGAACAAATCGAATTAAAACATTTAACATTTTCACACCTATTTGTAATCCAAGAAGTTAGCATTAAAGAATCTGAGAATAAATAAGCATGAGTTTTATGAATTATACTATATTCCACTGGATCCAATTCCAAAATATCTCCCTCATATAAAAGCACTCTGTCTTTTACTTCTAAAAGTCCAGTACATCCTTCGACTTTTTCTAATATCGATGTAAGAACTCTAACTCTATCTTCCTCCTCTTTTTGTTTTCTCTTTGCATCTTCCTAAAAAAGGGCAAAGCAAATGTAAAATTCTGTTATCGATTTTGAAAAAAAAAGGAAAACAATTTACACAATGAGAAATGTAATTTTATTATTATTATTATTATAAATACTTTTTTTTGTTTATCTCTTTCATCTTGAACTTCTCCTAAGGATTCGTTAAAATTAGTTGAATCAATTAAAGTTTCTAATAATGATTTTTGTTCAAACAATAAATGTGATAATTGATACATTTCACTTTCCAACTGAGTGATTTCTTTTGCCGTTTCAATAAATTGTATGTAATTTTTGTAAACATTTTTTTTAAGTAAAACACTTGTGGATTCGGAAATGGCTTGAATTGCTTTTCTCTGCTGTTGAAGTTCTTGTCCTCCGACGCATTTTTGTGATAATTCTCTAACATCTATTTAGTAAAAAAAAAAAAAAATAATAATAATAATAATTAATTTGTAAAATATTTCATCGGTTGATAAAATCATTAAAAATCCACGTAAATTCAATTCCTGTTGAAAATATCGATAATAAAAATATTCAAAAATTTACAATAATCAGAGAAAATTTTGGAAAAAAAAATTAAAATAATGATAAAAATACTCGAGGAGTTAATTATTTATCGTTAAACTTACATTTATCCGGATTAAAATCAAGAGAACTAAATTTTTCAATTAAATTGTCAACCATTTTGTATATTATTCATAAATCACCGCCTTTTCGAAACGTAAAAAATTATTATTAATTATAATTCGTTCGTTAATTTAAAAAAAAAAAAAAATTTATTCCCTAGGGAAATAATATATTAGGGATAAATAATAATAAGGAAACGATAAATTATTTATTTTTACTGACAATTATTTTTAAAATAAATATTTTTATTTATTCATAAATGAGCGAAACCGGATTAACAGTGTAAAAATAAATTATTAAAAATATTATAATAAATTTATCTATACTTTTTTTTTCTTTTCTTTTTATAATTAAATTAATAAAAATAATATTAATAATAATAATAATAATAAAATAAACTCATATGTGAGTTAAAAACACAGCCATAAAAACAAAAAAAAAATACATTTCAATTCGTGTTTTTTTTTTTTTAAATTACATTTACGATAATTTTTTAATGTGTGTGTGTGTGTGTGTGTGGTGATGCAACAAATATTTAAAATTTAAAATTTGTGAATATTAAATATTTATACATAATAATAATAATAATATATATCAAATTTAAAAACATTTATAAACAACATGCTAGAATTAAAAACAAAAAAATTCCTACGTAAATACACGAGAAAAAAAAAAGAAGATATTTATGAAGAACACATAGGTAATAGAATTGTCTTTTTCGTTTTCAAAAAAAAAAAAAAAAAAAGAAAAAAATCTTTTAAATTTTAAATTTATAGAATTTTATATGCTATAAAATGTATCTCTGTGACGAAGACTTAAAGTTCTCGGATATCTATAATTAGCAGTAGGTTGTCGAGTTATGTTTGCCATTGCGCAACCCATGGCTAATTCCAATGCTCGACAAAATGTTTGAAACCATAACCACGGCCATGGAGAAAATATAATTTCGCTACCTCCTCCACCTCCTGATCCACCTGATACTCCTGTTGGCACGTGATCTATACGGTGCGTTGAATTGGAAGAAAAAGTTGTTGAAACTTTTGGAAGAGATGAAACGACTCTTCGAGAATCTGGAACTCCTAAAACAAAATTTTTTTTTGTACTCGATCCCAATTTTTCCCTTTTATTCCTTACGTACCAAAAGGACTATATATTCTTCCCATATTACTCAAACACAACATCAAACCCCACATGGCCGTTATATAGGTTATGTTTAATACCCATTCGACTTTTGATTTTCTTCCTTTTTCCAAATCTTCATCACCGCTTTCATGTCCGTTGCGTTGTTGTCCTCTATTTATGTAAGCAATATGATTAAGTACCGATCTTAGTGAAACATCCGTCTGGAAAAACAAATTAACATAAATTAACCTCTAACCTTTCTTTGACTTTATTATTATTATTATTATTTAATTAACTCACTGCATTTTCTTGTTTTCCACCAAGAAGACATTCTTGCGTTGTCGTTTCTTCTTCATCGTCATCATCTTCATCATCATCCTCCTCGTCGTCATCATCGCCGGCATTTTTTTCTTTATTATTTTTTTTCCAAGATAATTTTTTTTTTATTTTTCTTTTTCCTTTTTGACGTTGATTTTTAGACGTCGATGATATTATGAGATCTTCGTCCGTTTTAGTTGTTATGTCCATGAGAGTCGAACAGCTACCGCTCGAGTCACCTTGCGTAAAACTGACACTATCTTTCCTGCATGATCAATTTAAGGACATTACAATTTTACATAAATTTTTGCCTTCTTCTTCTTTAATTACCCATACCTGAAACTGTTTTTCCGACTTCCTTCATTCATTATTTGACTTCCTCTTCTCATACCGCCATCATTTCCCTTATTGTTATTATCCGATGATGATGCCGCTGCCGCCACCGCCGCCGCCATATTTGATTTTTTCATTTTATCCTTTCTATTAATTTCAACTGTTTCCTCATCAACATCGTATATTTTTTTCTCTCTAACTATTTCCATTTCTTTTAAATCGTTTCTTATGTCGTTCATTATTTTTTTTAAATTATTATCCGTCGATTTGGAATCGTTTAAAACTATATCATCCTCAGCCGACGACATGTCCGGACACGAAATTAAAATGTTTGGTATTAATACGTCCGTTGATGATTTTTCACATCCTGATTTATTATTATTATTATTATTGTTCCCTTCGGCTTTGATTTTTTTTTTATTAGGATATGAAAAATTTTCATTTTCGAAACTCGTTCTCTGTTGTATTTTCGATTTGAATTCGTAAATACTTTTTGTCGTGACGAAATTTTCCGTATTTTTTAATATTCCACTATTATTATTATTATTATTATTATTATTATTTGATTTAACGTACGCGAAATTAAATTCTTTCGTTTTTGTCGATTGTTTGGGTGATAAACTTTTCGGTGAAATACATTTGGGAGATTTAGGTTCGACGTTTCTATACTGCGTTAAATCTTTATCCGTGACGTCTTCATCTGAAATGCTACGTAGAGATAATTTAGGTTTCAAATTAAATTTTTGCGTATTTCTCGTTTGATTTTGAAAGGAAGATCCTCTTGTTAACAATTTTGTACTTTTTTCATCACCGGAAGAACCCGCTGCTACAAAAAAAATACAATTAAAATTAAAATTTTAAAAATAATGAATGAGGATGTGTATAACTCACTTTCTTCTAAAATCGGTATGCTTTCCGATTCTAATATTCTAGAACTTCCATCGCTTCTGAACCGACAGCTGATAAACTTGTATTATCCTGCTGATG